CGGGCCGGGGGCCGCGTGGCTGGGGGCCTCCCTAGAGGACAACGGGCGTCCACCCTGGGACACGGCCTGACACTCAGAGATGACAAAGGAACCAGTGTCTGCAAAATAAAAACCGGCAATCTGTCCAGGCGCGGTGGCTCACGCCTGCAATCCCAGCACTCAGGGAGGCCGAGGCAGGAGGATCGCTGAAGGTCAGGAGTTCGAGACCAGCCTGAGCAAGAGCGAGACCTCATCTCCACTAAAAATAGAAAGAAATTAATTGGCCGACTAAAAAAAATACAGAAAAAAAATTAGCCAGTCGTGGTGGTGCATGCCTGTAGTCCCAGCTACTCGGGAGGCTGAGGCGGGAGGATCGCTTGAGCCCAGGAGTCTGAGGTTGCTGTGAGCTAGGCTGACGCCATAGCACTCTAGCTCGGGCAACAGAGTAAGACTCTGTCTCAAAAAATAAAAAGAAAAAAGAAAGAAATTAGCCAAACAACTAAAAAAAAAAATTAGCTGGGCATGGTGGCGCATGCCTGTAGTCCCAGCTACTCGGGAGGCTGAGGCAGGAGGATCGCTTGAGCCTAGGAGTTGGAGGTTGCTGTGAGCGAGGCTGACACCACAGCACTGTAGCCCGGGCAACTCTGAGTCAGGGAGACTCTGACTCAAAAAAAAAAAAAACAAAAAAAAACCCGGTAACCTAGTTAGGTGGACAACACAGCGGACTTGCAGAGAAAGGAAACCGGAGGGCGGGGCCCGAGACTCTGCACACGGCCAGGCGCAGTGGGCTGGACACAGGCGCCAGGGGTGGGGCAGGTGTGAGACCCCTGGGGCTCAGCCAGGGAAGGCTGGACTCCAGGCTCCCCTCTTCACAGATGGACCAAAGGCCTCGGAGGGAGCAGAACTGTCCTCGGTCCCCAGTAACCAGGAGCCAGACGGTCTCTCTGAGATGCAGCTGAGGGTGGGGCTCCCCCAAGGTTGGAGGACAGGAGCTGACACCCCCACAGTCTGGGCAGAGCCACCCCGAGGGGACCCCCCCACACACACACACACCTGTCCCCTGGTTGCTTGGGGACCCCCGCACACACACCTGTCCCCCGGTTGCTTGGTGGCCACTGTAGGTGAGGACACCGCGTCTCTGAGCTAAAGCAAGGTGGAGTCTTCCCAAGACCCATCCCCCCACTTCTCCGTGGCATTTCAGTGATTGACAAACAGACAAAAACACATTTATTTAGGGATTACCTACGTCGAAAGCCAGGCATGGAATTTTGTTATTCTCTGTCAACACTGCGGTAATATCAGCTGTTTGCACAAAAGGAGAAGTGTTTTCCCGCTCACCCCCGAACGCGGGAAATTCTGCGGTTTGTATTCAGAGAGACGTGCAATTCCATCGATCCTGCCGGCCGAGTACGTTTGAGCCCTCATCACCAGGCAAGGAGGTTGATTTTCTCTTTATTGCAAAGGTTATTAGGTGGGAGCCAGACAGAGAGCTCGTTTGTCCCCAGACATCCTGAGGAATGCAGAAGACCTCTCTCCGGTGTGTTCCGGAAGTTTCCAGCAGAGCCAGTGTTTGGACGGCCACTCCCCGGGGGATACGAGTTCTGTTTTTTTAAGTCTCGGCTGTTTTCAAGAGAGTGCCTTGTTATGGGTGGAGGAAAAGTACTTTCCCTGCTTTGAATTGATAAGAAATTTAAAACTCCACTAACAGGCCCCGGGCCTGCTGGCTCACGCCTGTCATCCCAGCACTCTGGGAGGCCGAGGCGGAAGGATCGCTCGAGGTCAGGAGTTGGAGACCAGCCTGAGCAAGAGCCAGAGCTGTCTCTACTAAAAATAGAAATAAATTAACTGGACAACTAAAAACAAATAGAAAAAATTACCCAGGCATGGTGGCGCATGCCTGTAGTCCCGGCTACTCAGGAGGCTGAGGCAGGAGGATCACTTGAGCCCAGGAGTTTGAGGTTGCTGTGAGCTAGGCTGACGCCACGGCACTCACTCCAGCCTGGGCAACAGAGCGAGACTCTGTCTCAAAACAAAATAAATAAATAAAACTCCACTAACAGTTTGAAAACTAACAGCCCCACCACCGACTGTCTGTAACCCAGAGTCCTTCGCCGAAAATGGTGACCCCTCTCAGCAGCTGTGTTCCCCCCCTCCCCGGCATTTCCAGACCTGAAAGGGGAGCCCCTAAAACGCTCCATGAAGGCGACTTTGTAGAATTTCTCCCCACTTTTTAGTCGGTCGCCTGGTCTCAGATGTAGGGGAACAAGGCAAATTTCCCCATCGCTACTCAAAAACACAGGTGGTGTTTCTTTTGTTTTTGAGACAGAGTCTCGCTCTGTTCCCCAGGCTAGAGTGAGTGCCGTGGCGTCAGCCTAGCTCACAGCAACCTCACACTCCTGGGCTCAAGCGATCCTTCCTGCCCGCCTCCCCAGTAGCTGGGACTACAGGCATGCACCACCATGCCCGGCTGATTTTTTCTATATATTGTTAGTTGTCCAGGTAATTTCTATTTTATAGTAGAGATGGGGGGGGGGTCTCGCTCTTGCTCAGAGCTGGTTTGGAACTCCTGACCTTGAGCGATCCTCCCGCCTCGGCCTCCCAGAGTGCCGGGATGACAGGCGTGAGCCACCGCGCCCCGCCTAGGTGTTGCTTCTTGAAGGGAAAGATGGGACACGAAAACGTCTCCGATCCTGGGTGTTCCATCCTTGTAGGTAACAGATGGGGACATGTGACCCTGAGGCGCCAGGTTGTCATGGAGAAAAGGCAGAAATGCCACGGCTGGGGGTGGGGTCCCAACCTCCTGGGGGAGGGGTCCCCAACCTCCTGGGGGAGGGGTCCCCAACTTCCATGACACGTGTCCCCCCCACCCCCGCCCCGTGGCGGACAGAAACATCCCTCCTCCAAAACTCCAGTCCCCCTCCCTTTTTGGAGGAATCGGGCGAGCCCTGGGCCGGCCCTTCTGTGGCTTTCCGGAAGAAACGCCGCCATGACTTACAGAAATGACCAGAATTTTTTTGTTTTTTTTTTTTAAACGAAGTCATGCAGATCTGATAGACCGGAGTGAACGTTTCATAAAACCAACGACTGTTTAAATGGTAGGACTGGACTGTTTGTCTATAAATATTACCTTTTATATTCCATCTGAGTTTTATGCAGATGAACACATCACTTTAATGACCTGCGTTTGCTCCGGGAGAGTGCGGGAGAGCAGAGCCCCGGAACCCCGCCAGCCAGATGGCTGCCTTTTCTTGCATGAGATTAAAAGATGTTTCTCATTCGCCGGGACGCTTCGGAGGCAGATTGATATCGCCCGGCTAAATTGCTCGCATGTTTTCGGAATAAAATTTAAAGAGAACTTTTTAAGGCAATTGGTGTCTCGGGCTCTCCGAGCAGATTGCTCTCCAGGTAGAGAGAGACATTCGGTAATTAACGGAGAGAATTCCTACGTTAATCGGCTGCTTCGGGAAGGGGGAATATAATGACTCCTTATTAATCATGAAAAGAGATGTTCGGCATGCAGGGACCATGATAATTGCTCCAACAGTGGAAATGTTAATTAATGAAAAGAACAATGATGTAGGAAATTAGCTGCATAATGCCTGCTACCGCCAATGAAGGTTGGATTTTAAACAAATTATTTAGAGTGGAAACCACAGAAACAAGGCCTAAAATAACAGACACGTGGAACCTCTTTCCTCCCAAATTTAAGGGGAAAAAAAAAAAAAAAAACCAAGGCTCCTGGCGTCTTTGCCTGAAGAAGCAAAAACATTCGCCCGGAGCTATATTTATTTCTCAGAAAACCTTGTCGTCCATCTCTGCTCCAGACTTCTAAAATCAAATCATCCCAGCCCAAAACAAGGTCCTTTATTAATGTCATTTCATCTCAACACAATAGGTCATTCTGACTGCTAAGGACAAAAGGAGTGCAAGCGAGTGTTTTTCCCTAAACTGAAATAAATAAATGTGATTCCTGATAGTTTCCGGTTAATATAAAGAAAAAAAATGTGATTCACTCTGGGGACAGAGCGTCTTTAAAAAAAAAAAAAAAAAAAAAATCTGGCCAGGCCGGAGGCTCACACCTGTCATCCCAGCACTCTGGGAGGCGAGGCGGGAGGATTGTTTGAGCTGAGGAGTTCAAGACCAGCCTGAGCAGGAGTTCGAGATCCCGTCTCTACTAAAATATAGAAGGAAATTAGCTGGACAACTAAAAATTATATAGAAAAAATTAGCCTGGCACGGTGGCACATGCCTGTAGTCCCAGCTACTTGGGAGGCTGAGGCAGGAGGATTGCTTGAGCCCAGGAGTTTGAGGTCACTGTGAGCTATGATGACACCACGGCACTCTAGCCTGAGCAACAGAACAAGACTCTGTCTCAAAAGGGAAAAAAAACACAAACAAAATCCAATTTTAGGCCGGGCGTGGTAGCTCACGCCTGTAATCCTAGCACTCTGGGAGGCGGAGTCGGGCAGATTGCTCGAGGTCCAGGAGTTCGAACGCAGCCTGAGTTAAGAGCGAGACCCCATCTCTACTATAAAACAAATAGAAAGAAATTAATTGGCCAACTAAATATACTATAGAAAAAATTATCCAGGCATGGTGGCGCTGGCTGTAGTCCCAGCTACTGGGGAGGCTGAGGCAGGAGGATCGCTTGAGCCCAGGAGTTGGAGGTTGCTGTGAGCTAGGCTGACGCCACAGCACTCGCTCTACCCAGGGCGACAGAGCAAGACTCTGTCTCAAAAAAAAAAAACACAACAAAAAAAAACACACAAACAAAATCTAATTTTAAGTCCCTGGGGGAACACACGGCGTCCACTGAGGCTGGTTCTGCAGGGAAGGCAGCGGTGTTTGCGGCGTGGAGGCCGTGGGAGCTCGGCCCATGTAGGAGGCCGAAGCCCCCGGGCCCTCCCCTCCCCCGCAGGATGGGGACAGAGGGCGGGGGCTTGGGAGCAGGGGAGCCCGGTCCCTGGGCGACCCCCCTGGCAGGCGTGGCGGGGGCGGGCGATGACGGCCTCTCCTTGCAGGTGGAGCGTGCTGGGGCTGCAGGGTGCCCTCCTGTCCCACCTCATCGAGCCCGTGTACCTGCACAGCGTGGTCGTGGGCAGCCTGGGCCACACCGGCCACCTCTCCCGGGTCCTGAGCCACCGGACGGAAGGCATCGGCCAGCTGCCAGCCTCCTACCGGCACCACCGGCCCCTCCTCAGCGGTAAGAAACGCCCCCCACACCCCGGGACCAGGACCCCTTCCGGGCACCAGGTGCAGGGCTGGCGGGCAGGGCAGGGCCCGGGAAGGGCAGATGGCACCCACTTTGCCCGACCGCGCAAAATCCAACAATCCAAAGATTTGAAAAAAGGAAAAAGATAAGGAGGTCACAGTGCACCCATGAACACAGCCCCAGGAGACATTTTAGTAACCACTCGTGGGCGGCCAACAACCTTGGGTGGTTCCTTTTTGGGGGGACGGGTGAGCACGCAGAGGGGCCAGGGACAGACACGCAGGCTCATAAGGACGGGGTCCCCTGGGAGTCCCAGCTGGGAACGCAGAGAAGGGAGAGAACTCCGCATAGACGTTCCTCTCGGTCCCCAGCTGTGACTCGCGTCGCCCTGCTCTGTCTTCACACCCACCCACAGCAAACGGCGTTCTCCCTGTTTTTAAACTGTGGAAAGAGATCCATAGAGACTCTGTTTTTCAAACTCTGGAAAGAGATCCATAGAGACTCTGTTTTTCAAACTGTGGAAAGAGATCCATAGAGACTCTGTTTTTCAAACTCTGGAAAGAGATCCATAGAGACTCTGTTTTTCAAACTCTGGAAAGAGATCCATAGAGACTCAGGGACTTGAGTAAGACACTCCTCCTACCACCAGGGAGCCAGGCTCCGAACTCAGCCAGTCCGGAGATCTTCTTTCAGGCCGGGCGTGGCGGTGGCTCACGCCTGTCATCCTGGCACTCTGGGAGGCCGAGGCGGGAGGATCGCTCGAGGTCAGGAGTTCGAGACCAGAGATCTTCTTTCCACGCAGCTCGCTGCCCCCCCTCCCCCCGCGGCAGCGCCCGGCCATTCCTCACGACAGAGCGTGCTACTTCCCCTCCGATGAACGGTAAACAACTATAATTCACCAACAAAGAACGTACTGGCCGGGCTGCGTGGGCTCACGCCTGTCATCCGACGCACTTCCTGGGGAGGTCGAGGACGGCGGATCGCTCGAGGTCAGGAGTTCCCAAACCAGCCTGAGCAACGAGCAGACCCTGTCTCTACTATAAATAGAAAGAAAGAAATCGGCCAACTAAAAATGTATAGAAAAATTAGCCGGGCCTGGTGGCGCATGCCCTGATCCCAGCTACTCGAGGCTGAGGCAGGAGGATTGCTTGAGCCCAGGAGTCTGAGGTTGCTGTGAGCTAGGCTGACGCCACGGCACTCACTCTAGCCCAGGTCTATCTCAAAAAAAAAAAAAAAAACAACCCTAGCAGAAGCCGCAGCACCGTCTCAGGAGGGAGAACTGGCGCGGGAGGGCGCCCTCTGGTGGAGCTTGTCCCACCCGCCATCCACGCAAGCCACAGCTGGGTATTGCCAGCGAGCTGGGAGTGGAAGAGACACAGCAAAATACAAGGCTGTAAAATTACATTTATTTTTTTAGATGGTCAATTGCAGGAATTCTGACAAAATATCCCTTTGGACCCAGTTTCAACCTCTTTCTTTCATTTTTACTTTTTCTCTTTTTCCTATTATTATTTATTATTTTTTTTTGAGACAGTCTCCCTCTTATTGCCCGAACTAGAGTGCCGTGGCGTCAGCCTAGCTCACAGCAACCTCAACCTCCTGGGCTCAAGCCATCCTCCTGCCTCAGCCCTCCCGGGTAGCTGGGACGACAGGCATGCACCGCCACCATGCCCGGCTAATTTTTTCTATATATTTTTAGCTGTCCAATTAATATCTTTCTATTTTTAGTAGAGATGGGGTCTTGCTCTTGCTCAGGCTGGTTTGAACTCCCTGAGCCTCTGAGCGCATCCACCGCCTCGGCCTCCCAGAGTGCTGGATTAAGGCGTAGCCCACCGTGCCCAGCCTTCAATGCTTGTTTTAAATGATATGCTCATCCGGGAACATGTCAACAAAAAATCGAAAACAGGACTTTTGAATTATAAGCATGAAAGCAGTGAATTTGCAGAGGAAGAATTAGAGATTCGGAAGCACCTGGCCTCACCCAGCTGTGCAACGTGCAGCGTAACAGCAGAGCCCCGGACGACCCCATCCCAGGTGGCACCTGCGGTCTCGCTAGGGATCTCAGTCTGTGCTCAGGAGCGTACTGGGAGCGTGGTCTTTATTATTTTAGAGATGCAAATGAGCCTAAACCTCAGGGCCTCCCCTGTGTGCATGCAAACCCCGGACAGTTACCACTCTAAATGGACATTTAAAAACCAATCATGTAAATTCCGAAAGGAAAGCATCAGAATTTCTCGCAACAAAGAAGAGAGAGATCTTGTGTGAGGATGATAATAAAAAGCATACTCCAAACGAGCAAGTGAAATTAGCTGGAAGCCTCCCTCAAGGTCAGCTTGCAGAACTTCAATTTAGACAGGGCTCGATCGCTCTGGGTCACAAGGAAGCAGGCGGGCTGGAAAAGACACCCCTACTGGCACAGTCACAGGGCGCATATGAATGTTCTCAGAAGACACACTCGACAGGCCGGGGCGGGTGTTCGATTCGGCAAAGATTTAGTAAGACATTTCTATGGGATTAGCACAGCACTTGCTAAGCAAATCAGATGGTACACAGCCTAAGATACACTTTTTTTTTTTTTTGAGACAGAGTCTCACTTTGTTGCCCAGGCTAGAGTGAGTGCCGTGGCGTCAGCCTAGGCTCACAGCAACCTCAGACTCCTGGGCTCAAGCGATCCTCCTGGCTCAGCCTCGAGTAGCTGGGACTACAGCATGAGCCACCATGCCCGGGCTAATTTTTTCTATATATTTAGTGGTCAATTATTTATTTTTATTTATAGTAGAGATGGGGTCTCGATCCCTTTTGTACTCAGGCTGGTTTCGAAAACTCGCTGACTCGAGCAATCTCTGCCCGCCTCGGCACTCCCATAAGGGATACATTTAAAATTACAGAAAAGCGCTTGCTTTCATCCTCTGGGGGAGTTTCTTTTTAAATATTTTCTATGTAATTAATTTCCCTTTAATCTCCACCATGAGTTTTAAGGAATTATTTCTCAAAGAAGTTGAAAACAAACAAATTAGCTG